ACCATCCGCCTAGACGCACAGTTTGGGACCCCCTACCCGAGATCCGCCGGTTTTGACACCGACAATGTGCCACAACAGTTTCAGATTCATTGCCATAAAAAGGATCAGATTCAAACAACGTAATTATCTCAGGATCAATAGAGAATTCATAATCCTTATCAGTAACAAAGATAGGTGATGTAGCAAGAGCAGGGTCATATTTCATTCTAGCATTCAGAGATTGCTGCTTCCATTTAGCTAATAACTTCTTAAGATCATATCTATCATTGCAAGCAAGAATAGCTCTAGCAGCTTCTTCATCCATAACATAACCCTCAGGAACAACAGGAAATTCATACTTAGAGGGAGAACCTTGATCATCACTATCATCAATAATTTCGTCTTCAGTAATTTCATTCTCTCTAACCCTAGCAAGTTGTTCATCTAGAAATTCACCTAATGGCAAAGTAGTATCAAGCATAGAAGTAGTTTCATCATAAGTATCATGCATAGCAGAAGTGGCATCATCAATAACATGCGACATATCATAATTCATAGCAGTAGTAGGTTTATGTGTCGCAATCTTACTCAAAACAGAAGGAGAATCTAGTGCAGAGCTAGATGGGAGTTCTTTACCCCCCCCCCCTCGTAGTTGAGGGAAAAATCTTAGTTCTTTGGTCTTTCAAGTTCTTCATAGTGATCAGTAGATATAAATCCCAAGTGACTCAAAGAATACAGTTATGCTCCCCGGCAATGGCGCCTTAAAATAGTCTTGATAACCCACAAGTATAGGGGATCGTAACAGTTTTCGAGGGTAGAGTTTTCAACCCAAATTTATTTATTCGACACAAGGGGAGCCAAAGAATATTCTCAAGTATTAGCAGTTGAGTTGTCAATTCAACCACACCTGGATAACTTAGTATCTGCAGTAAAGTATTTAGTAGCAAAGTAGTACGATAGTAATGGTAACATTGGTAGAAGTAACGATAGCAGTTTTGTAATGATTGTAATAGTAGCAACGGAAAAGTAAATAAGCAAAGCACAAATATGTGAAAAGCTCGTAGGCATTGGATCAGTGATGGATAATTATGTCGGATGTGATTCCTCATGTAATAGTTATAACATAGGGTGACACAGAACTAGCTCCAGTTCATCAATGTAATGTAGGCATGTATTCCGAATATAGTCATACGTCCTTATGGAAAAGAACTTGCATGACATCTTTTATCCTACCCTCCTGTGGCAGCGGGGTCCTAATGGAAACTAAGGGATATTAAGGCCTCCTTTTAATAGAGTAGCGGACCAAAGCATTAGCACTTAGTGAATACATGAACTCCTCAAACTATAGTCATCACCGAGAAGTATCTCGATTATTGTCACTTCAGGGTTGTCGGATCATAACACATAATAGGTGACTATAGACTTGCAAGATAGGATCAAGAACTCACATATATTCATGAAAACATAATAGGTTCAGATCTGAAGTCATGGCACTCAAGCCCTAGTGACAAGCATTGAGCATAGCAAAGTCATAGCAACATCAATCTCAGAACATAGTGGATACTAGGGATCAAAACCTAACAAAACTAACTTGATTACATGGTAAATCTCATCCAACCCATCACCGTCCAGCAAGCCTACAATGGAATTACTCACACACGGCGGTGCACATCATGAAATTGGTGATGGAGGATGGTTGATGATGACGACTGCGATGAATCCCCCTCTCCGGAGCCCCGAAAGGACTCCAGATCAGCCCTCCCGAGAGAGATTAGGGCTTGGCGGTGGCTCCGTATTGTAAAACGTGATGAAACTTTCTCTCTGATTTTTTTTCAGCGCGAAACCAATTATATAGAGTTGGAGTTGATGTCGGTCGAGCGCCAGGGGGCCCACGAGGCGGAGGGGGGGCGGCGCCCAGGGTGACGGGGCGCGCCACTACCCTCGTGGACAGGGTGTGGGGCCCCTGGCCTTGATTCTTTCGCTAGTATTTTTGTATTTTCCAAAAGTTATCTCCGTGGATTTTCGGGTCATTCCGAGAACTTCTGTTTTCTGCACAATAAATAACACCATGGCAGTTCTGCTGAAAACAGCGTCAGTCTGGGTTAGTTTCAGTCAAACCATGCAAGTTAGAGTCCAAAACAAGGGCAAAAGTGTTTGGAAAAGTAGATACGTTGGAGACGTATCAGCGGCTGCAAGCTTGATCAACATCAACCACCTTCTCGGGGCGTGAAACTCCGAAGGCCCCCATGCTTGAAGCCGGCGTGCCTTCACAGCTTTGGGGACTACTGCCGGGGGGATGGACCCCGGGCAGGCAACGGAACCCGGATCCCTTTCAGAAACATCAAGCCTAGCAATGCCCCTCAATCCGGCTTGCCCTTGGCTGGCTTCCCAGCGCAACCCAGCCAAGTCACACAACCCGGCCAAGCCGGCGGGCACACGCCGGGCGGCTCCCACAAGTCAAACCTTCATCGACAAACCAGCATGGCTACAATGCGCCCCCCTTTACGCCGACAACGGAGGGCGTTGCTGCCATGCCGACCAAGCCCCCGCCTGGGGCGGGCGGCGCCTTGGAGGCATGACCCTGTAGCAAGATGGCGCAGCCGACCCATGACGACTAACACGACGAGCCTATAGAGTACCCAGCAGCCGGTCGCACCCGCGCCCGGCGGGCCTTGTACGGCCCGCACCCGACGGACACGGCGAGATGCGCACCCAACGGAACCGGCGAACCCTGCGTCCCACTACCGACTGCAAGACACTGACAACCCGGCCCCACGCCCATGGAACTTTACCATTGTAACTCTGGGCGGTTGGCCTATAAAACCCCCCGGAGGCCTCCATGCACGGGGCGACCATCAGTTGAACCACACACTCACACACTCATCCACCACACGGAGAAGTAGCAGCCTATGAACTGGCCCACCTTCCTTCCTCCCAAAACAGCTTTAGGAGTAAGCTTGTACCATCTTCATATAAACCACACACGGCAGGACTAGCAATATTATCTCTCCGGAGAGCCCCAAGCGTGGGTACGTCTTGTGTCTCGCACTCGCTCATACCGACCTTGCCTCTATTGCCCACCGGTTGCCTCTTGCCTATCCCTCTCTTTAGCCACCCCATGGCATCTGTCGTGCGCCCACCACGACATGTGGCCGATGATTTGCTATTGTATTGTCTTATACAATCTGTTTGACAATTGCGAACGTTGCGGCTTACTAAAAGTAGTGACTGCCGAATTTGGATGGAAACTCAAATTTTGCATGAATTCATATTAAATTTATTTTAAGAAATCAATATTGTATCAAAATGTGACCACCAACTACAATAAAATACAAATTGAGCACGCCAAAATACTGTGACGGTCATGAACGGCGTCAAAAGCGTATGGTCGCACATGTAAGAAGTCACATCACCCGAGTATGGACCCGCTCGCCAATGTCCACGTCAGCACAACAATGGGCCCACATGTCAGAACTGTTGACTGGTCACACGACACATCGTCACCAAAAAACAATGCCTGGCACCACATGTATGCAACCATGTCAGCACCTTCTAGGCCCACATGTCAGCAGCGTTGAACGGTCAAAATTGACGCCAAGTTATTACTAATGGGACCATTGGCGATAAAACCCACGGCGGACCCACACCGCACCCCACAATGAGCGGCGGGCAGTGCCCAGATTGGATGGTTTCCCCCAGGGAAGGTGCCCCACCCGACGACACGCCCCTGCGATTCTCTGCAACAGGGAAGGTGGGCGAAGCCTACGGTGAAACCACAACCAAGCATAGAGGATCCACTCAAGCCGCGGCTGGGTGGTGGTGCTGGTGGGGCGCTCCGGCTGGGGATCTGATAGAAAGGGGCACTGGCGGGATGCGTGGAAGTTGTGATTGGCGCCAAGGTGGGATCATCATCATGCCCCAGGACAACTGTCTCTGGGCAGCAGGCCGCGGGAGGGGAATCAGGGGGGAGGGGGCAGAGGAGGAACGCTCTGATTGTTCGACCGCGCTCCTTCTTGGTGAGGCCATCATCAGGAGGGGGCAAGGGTGGGCAGAAGGATTGATTGATTGTTGTCTTGATTTTTATTTTTTATTTTGACTTTCTCGAATGCTTGATACTTTGTACTAATAAAGATAAATGCGTGCATCACAATAATGTAGTGGCTGGTGCTATCCCCTTTTGAAAGGAAAACACACATTTGCTGGCAAACTGAATATTTTCGCCATAAAATATGACATAGTGACCTTCTACTTCCCCGTACACGTGTGCATGCATGCATGCCATTATGTGGTCGAAACAAAAGTTGTTACTAGCAAGCTACAAGTTTGTGTGATTTAAATTGGAGATTGCTCCAGAGATTTCATTTGTCGTGCGATGCATGGTCATCCCCAATAATACATAGAGAAGGCGCTTTATATGGTAAGCATGCAAGGGTGCAGTGTTTGTTGGAGAAACTTGTATGCTTCTACATAAATTGACAAACAACTTGTCTTGCACTAAAAAGAGTGAAACGTATGGGTTTCTGCATGCCCGCAACTGACTTGTTCCTTCACATGAGATTAACCACAATGCAAGAAAAGGGTTGCAAAAACATCTCGTTAATTAGTTAAAGTGATGATTAAATCACATGCAGCTATGAAATATATTCCTTCCGTTGTATGCTACACTAGTGTCAATAACGTTTTTATATTATAGGACGAAGCGAGTACCGTTTTTGCAGCATCTAAATCATCACCATCTTCTGTATTTGAAATGGAACAGTTGAAGCAGACTTTACTTAAACAATCTGTCGACAGTGTATATATTACTGCTAGGCGCTAGCTAGGAAGAAATTTAAATAAATTTGTTGATGGCAAATTCAAAACTCAACTTAGCATGCATTTCTTTCTGACATGGACGGTCTGAAATTCTGGATCAAGAGGACAGGAAATGCACATCAAAAAACAAATTAAGAACGAAGGCCTCAATTAAAGCATGGATCGAAAGGATCTAATTAGGGGGTGATGATAATGAGCTAGCTCAATTAGCAATCCCATTGGAGCTGCTCCATGCCATTGCCAGCGGCGCCGCAAAATAACCCGCACGACTCCATCAGCTCTAGGTCGAACGCCGTCGTTGTACCGGCGGAACCGTACACTTCCGAAGAGACGTCCATGATATCCAGTCCCTTGCCACCTGAGCTACCGCCGTTGATCAATGGCCGCGGCGGGGGTCCAACTACCTCCTCCAGCCCCAACCCGTGCTGTTGCCGATGCTGATGTGCCATTTCGATCCCGGCACCCATTCGTGGCTCGACAACGGTGGCCCACATTGCGGCCGTCTCGTCCATGAACGCCGCCACGCCTGGGTTGAAGACGTTGCCATTGGGCATGCCGGCCGCGTACTCCATGGAAGACGACGAATTAGAAGAGCCATTCATGAAGTCCATGGAGGCGTGGACGCCCGCGGCGTTCTGATCCCTGAAGTTCATGAGTAAACCACCGCCGTTATTGTGGACGTACGGGTAGCCCTGCTGCATGGCGATCGCAGCTTGTTGACCGCGCTCGTGCTGCCCCATCATCATGCCAGGGTTATGGACGTCGTACAAACCCGGCGCCACCACTGGCGGCGCAACCGTGGCAGCGTCGTAGACCGCCTTGGTCGGGGAGCTGATGGTGAACGGCGGCGTGGCGCAACCGTTCCCGTTTCCATTGGGGGAATGGAATTGGGCGCGTGCAGCAGGGTTGTTGCTAGGGTTGCTGCCGGAGCCGGTGCCGCCATGTGCATGGAGGAGGTGCTTGGATGCCGGGAGCAGGTTGTGGGTCTTGGGGTCGAGACCCTGCGCGATGAGCTTCTTCTTGATGCACGAGTTCCAGAAGTTCTTGACCTCGTTGTCTGTGCGGCCCGGCAGATGCTTAGCGATCTGCGCCCACCTGCGTGCCATGGATGCGATGCGATTCAACAAGTCGGATCAATCGTGTCATGCAGCAACCTACATTGAGGCAGACACATGTATGTGTGTATGTATGTATACCGGTTGCCGAGGATGCGGTGGACGTCGAGGATGGTGCGCTCCTCCTGCTCGGAGAAGGTGCCGCGCTTCAGGTCCGGGCGGAGGTAGTTGATCCACCGGAGCCGGCAGCTCTTGCCGCAGCGCTGCAGCCCTGAACAAGGAGGAGAAAGATCGATACGGTTCAGATCCGCGATCTAGAATTCGAGATGGATGGACGGAGAGAGACTACTAGTGCGTACCGGCGTTCTTGGGGACGGCGCTCCAGCAGCTGTGGCCGTGCGCCGTGATGTACCTGAGGAGCCTCTCATCCTCCTCCGGGGACCATAGCCCCCGCTTCACCTTCTGCTTGCTGCAGCACTGGTGCCCCATGGCCGCCGCCGCCTCAGGCCGCCTGAGCCTGACCTAGCTAGCCGACTCGCCCCTCTCCTCTTCTCTCACGCATACACACGCTCGCAGGCAGAAATTCAGGCAAAGGCTGTCTCGGTCAATTGAGCTTTATGCCGCTGTGTGTGGAGGAAGGGAACACCAAATAAAGTTTGTCCATTGTCTCATCCATCGGAAAAGGTTGGAGGAAGTTTCAATTCACCAGGTGACTGAGAGAGTAGCAACAGTGAACGAACGCCCAGCAACCAAGTCTCTCTCTCTCTCTCTGTGTAAGTGCAAATCATGAGCTAGCGTTGCTAAAACTTGTGACGCTAGGCTACATGGAAGCGGCCGGACGGGACTTGAAACACAAGAGAAGAGCAGGTCGACTTATCGAGACGCACGCATGCGCTCTGTCGGTGCGCCTAGCTTACTCATGGCTAGCAAACATCGACAGCGATACTATCTGTCCAGTCATTGTTGCAGGCATATATAGGAGTACCATTTAATTACTGAATTTATCGGGTTCGGTTTACTCTTTGTATACATATATACTCCCATCAGTCATATCTGAATTTAATTACTGAATATAGTGTTGGTTAATACTGTTACTCCCATCAGTTCTCTCGAAGCTGTCGTTTTAGACAAAAGGAACATCTAACTTTCGAAAATAGGAAAGTTCTGATTGTACCCACTGTACCTTCTGTCCTCACTGTTCATTTTTGCATCAAAGTTCGGTGCAAGCAAACTTCTCTTTTTTTTCCTTACAAATAAATGAACATTTGAATTCGATACTTTACAGATCAACATCACACAAGTACTACCATGTGTAGAAATGTATTCAGATTTTTGCGCAACATAATTTTTTTAAAATGCATGATACAACCAATTCAAAATTTGAATTTGAAAAATTGATGTCACATATAAAAACAAAAACATTTTATACAAAGATTGGCACTTGTGTATAATTGACCTGCCAAGTTTTAAGGTCAAATGTTCTCTGTGAAAGAAACAAAAAAGAGAAATTTCTATATAAGGATAGCAACACAAATCTTGACGCAACACTACCGGAATAACTGCCGATGCCGAAGGCATTTTGTCTGGGCCATTGGCATAGACGGACATATGCTGACGGCCTAGGGGAAGCCGTAGGCACAGAAAGACCGTCGGCATATAGTAGTCTATGTCGACGATGGCCGTCGGCATACAAAGGCCATCGACATAACCACAATCTATGCCAACAGCGGCCGTCGGCATATATATGCCCTCGGCAGATAGGTCGGCCCGCCGACCTGGCTCAGACGGTAGGCCAACGCCGTTAAATCTACGCCGGCAGCCCAACGGCAAGCCGTCAGCATAGATCTTTGTGCCACGTGGCACACTGTGCCGACGGCCTTGCCGTAGGCATAGATACTACCTTTTTTGTTTTTTTGAATTTCTGTAAGTTAAATTTGATTAATTTGAATCTGAATTTTCTGTACTTAACATAAACAAATTATATATCAATTTTGGGTTTTTGTTTACCGTAGATTATGAATGTCGAGTATGTTTTTGTTTTTTGGTATATTAGAAATTTTACCCGACGCGGTTGTTCCCCCCCCCCCACCCCCCCCCTAAAAGTGCCGGCGACGGTGCCGTCCATGAGGGGGATCTCACTCCGGAGCCACGTGCCGGGTGTTTGCACCTCCCACCAC